CACCTCGCTTTTCAGAACGATGAGCTTTGTAAAAATCAACGCATTGCAGAAAGGCGGGACATAGAGGAGCAACAATAATGTACAGTAAATAAATCTGTCAGAAAAAAGAAATATGCTAAAGTTTCACCTTTAGGGGTACAACAGCCTGGCAGCCTTTTACAAATATTAACCATGGTTTTATTTCAGTAACCAGTTTACCACAGTTTGTAGTAAAACTGCAGTAACCACAAATTTACCATGGTAATAATAATAATAATACATTTTAGTACTTATGTAACACCATGTTTGTTTTTCATGAGGTACCCTCAAAGGTGCACCTTGTAACTTATCTACCCTTAAAGCAAGCATATTTGTATGGTACTAATATGCTCCCTTTTAGGGGTATAGTTGCACTTTTGAGGTTACTGCCCCAGTAAAGAGCTAAATACAATTAAGAGTATATTTTATTTCTGACAGTGTAAACAAAAAAAATGCCTATGAAATGTTAAAAAAATATGGCTTTAGAATCTAATATTAAGTGAGTATAATTACTGATTATATTCTTTTAATAATTTAAAAGATCAGTTTAGTTTAAAGGTATCGGTATCAACGAAACGGAGCTTGAAAATATCGGTATCGGATCAAAAATAAAATAAGAGGTATCGCCCATCCCCATCAAACTCCCTTTCAAGGATTTCTTATGGTCTTGGTTTACGCATCACACACACACACACTACACCAACACGTTCTTTACAGGTTTCGTAATAATGTTTTATTCATTGTGAAATATTCGTTAGTTCTTTGGTTTAAATGGTTGTGCAAAATAATCTTCAGTTGTAATTTTTTTTTTTTTGCTGATAAAATACATTTCTTTGAAAAAAATGTATGTCTCTACTTACGGAACAAACTAAGAAAAGCGCTCTCTAGTAGATAAAGTGGGTGGCTCTCAAAAGAGCCTTTATATTAACAGACTAGAATCTGCTTATTTGGTTTTGGCGGGTTTCTCGGTCTTCTTGGGCAGCAGCACGGCCTGGATGTTGGGCAGCACGCCGCCCTGAGCGATGGTCACTCCGCCCAGGAGTTTGTTCAGCTCCTCGTCGTTGCGCACCGCCAGCTGCAGGTGACGGGGGATGATACGGCTCTTCTTGTTGTCCCGAGCGGCGTTTCCAGCCAGCTCCAGAATCTCAGCCGTCAGATACTCGAGCACAGCGGCCAGATACACCGGAGCACCGGCACCGACGCGCTCGCCGTAGTTACCTTTGCGGAGAAGCCTGTGAACACGACCGACGTTTGTTTTTCATGAGGTACCCTCAAAGGTGCACCTTGTAACTTATCTACCCTTAAAGCAAGCATATTTGTATGGTACTAATATGCTCCCTTTTAGGGGTATAGTTGCACCTTTGAGGTTACTGCCCCAGTAAAGGGCTAAAATACAATTATAGTATATTTTATTTCTGACAGTGTAAACAAAAAAAGGCCTATGAAATGTTAAAAAACATGGCTAATATTAAGTGAATATAATTACTGATTATATTCTTTTAATAATTTAAAAGATCAGTTTAGTTTAAAGGTATCGGTATCAACGAAACGGAGCTTGAAAATATCGGTATCGGATCAAAAATAAAATAAGAGGTATCGCCCATCCCCATCAAACTCCCTTTCAAGGATTTCTTATGGTCTTGGTTTACGCATCACACACACACACACTACACCAACACGTTCTTTACAGGTTTCGTAATAATGTTTTATTCATTGTGAAATATTCGTTAGTTCTTTGGTTTAAATGGTTGTGCAAAATAATCTTCAGTTGTAATTTTTTTTTTTTTGCTGATAAAATACATTTCTTTGAAAAAAATGTATGTCTCTACTTACGGAACAAACTAAGAAAAGCGCTCTCTAGTAGATAAAGTGGGTGGCTCTCAAAAGAGCCTTTATATTAACAGACTAGAATCTGCTTATTTGGTTTTGGCGGGTTTCTCGGTCTTCTTGGGCAGCAGCACGGCCTGGATGTTGGGCAGCACGCCGCCCTGAGCGATGGTCACTCCGCCCAGGAGTTTGTTCAGCTCCTCGTCGTTGCGCACCGCCAGCTGCAGGTGACGGGGGATGATACGGCTCTTCTTGTTGTCCCGAGCGGCGTTTCCAGCCAGCTCCAGGATCTCAGCCGTCAGATACTCGAGCACAGCGGCCAGATACACCGGAGCACCGGCACCGACGCGCTCGCCGTAGTTACCTTTGCGGAGAAGCCTGTGAACACGACCGACAGGGAACTGCAGCCCTGCTCTAGAGGAGCGAGTCTTAGCCTTCGCTCTGGTCTTACCGCCGGTTTTACCTCTGCCACTCATTGTTGGTTAGAAAAAACCTACGTTAGCAATACACAAATTATAAATCCGTGAGCGCAGCTATACTGTTTATAAACGAGCGTGCCAGTCGCCCATTGGTTTAGAGCCTTGTAAGATTGTAAACCAATCACTGAACTTCCCTCCAACACCCACCGCCAAAGCCACGCCCCCACAGCTCGAATCCTGATCGTGCTGCTCTTTACTAAACACATGACAGAAAACATTACAGAAATTGTGGTGGGGGTTGAATGAGTTTGAAATAATAATGAAAAAAAAAGTAAATACAAAAAAGCGTTAGTAAATATTGTTTTTAACCTAATTAAATTTAGATCGATGATCCATTAAAGCCATTAAACGTATTAACAAACGTTTATAACTTTGAATAACTTTCTAAATTCAGCCAGCATGTATAACATTGTGTCGAGGTAAACTCAGATGCAGTCTTACAGTAATTTACTTCCACAATAGTCAAACTGCGGTCTTTCTTTAGAGTTAGTGGGTGGCTCTGAAAAGAGCCGTTGGGGAGTAAAACATATTTATTTCTTCTTGGGGGCTGCCTTTTTGGGTTTTGCTGCCTTGGGTTTGGCAGTCTTGGCTTTTTTGGGGCTCTTGGCTGCTTTCTTGGGCGCTGCTGGCTTCTTTGTCTTCTTGGGGCTCTTCGTCGTCTTCTTAGCGGCTGCAGCGGCGGGTTTCTTGGCCTTTTTGGGTGATTTCTTAGCGGCGGGCCTCTTTGCCGCTGCGCTCTTTGGCTTCTTGGCAGCAGCGGGTTTCTTGGCCGCGGGCTTCTTAGCTTTAGGAGCCGCCTTCTTCGCCGGCTTCTTCTTGGTCTCAGTTTGGTTCTTGCTGAGCTTGAAGGAGCCGGAGGCGCCGGTCCCTTTGACCTGCAGCAGGGTGCCTTTAGTCACCAGGCTCTTGATGGCAAGCTTGACGCGGGAGTTGTTCTTCTCCACGTCGTAGCCGCCGGCGGCGAGAGCTTTCTTCAGGGCTGCGAGGGACACGCCGCTCCGCTCCTTGGACGCGGACACGGCTTTGACGATCAGCTCACCGACGCCTGGACCTGCTTTCTTGGCTTTGGCGGCGGACTTCTTCTTGGGCGCTTTGGCCGGCGGCGCGGCAGCAGCCGGGGCTGGAGCGGTTTCTGCCATTTTCCCGAGCGGATCTACAGTCTTTCCAAACGCTGAGTTCAAGGATGAGTGTCGCTCGAGCAGCGCTGCGCTCTTAAACAACACATGAGAACCTTATAGACTCAACCCGCGCCGCTCCGTGTCTGCGCGCCTCTGCGAGCTCCTCGCGTGTGTTTCTTTCTCCTACATTGAAGGGCAAAACTCGAGGGTAAAACAGTTTGACGCAGTAAACACCTTTCATTATGGTTCTACACATTCATACACCATTGTAATAGACTAGAGAGAATTATTGATGAAATAATCAACTCACAACAGGTTTTCCAATAAACTTTAAATCAGAAAAAAAAAATAAAAAAAAAATATAAGAAAAACTACAGTAGGTATACAGTAAAATGTAAACTGTCTTCCTCACTGCACTTCTATGTATTTATCAACCCTGTCTTGTGGATTTGGCCACAAGTTCTCATTCACATCATAATGGATGTTTTCATTAGCTAAACATCTTGGGAAAAAAATCTTCTGGCATGGCAAAAACAGGCCTGACATGGTCTCCTCTTGTGATGTCATTGCACACATCATCTATTGCCTGGAGAAAAGTGACTTGTTTGTGAGGGTTTCTATTGTGAACCTTCCACCTCCATGTGCAGAAACTATCCTCAGTCGGGTTACAGTAAGGAAAGGGGAGTATGAGGGTAAATACAAGGTGATAAACTGTGGATGGGCCTGAAACCATGATTGCTCTCAGTGCCGTCGCTAGGAGTTCTGGGCCCATTGCACTGATTTTGCTATGGGGTCCGGTCCCCTCAAAATCACATTCAGTGGGGGGTGGTCGGGCCCCCCAGTGTACATCGTTCTGGGACCCTCTCAACTTCTGGACTCTCAACCTATCCTCTATGTCATGGCCACGTTAAAGCCTGCCATCCAAAAATATGAATGGTTTTCATCAAATTCCAGATCTATCACCCTCAAAAAAAACAAATACTCATAAGAAGGATGTTATGAGTATTTACACTCATAACATACTGTATAACACATAACCCCCCCCCAACAACAGGCATCTTGGAACTGATCATACCTGAACATTCTCAGTCCTCAGTTGCTTTACTTTATAATTTAAACATTAATATTGTTAATCATTTTCCATAAAAACTATGCTTCAAGAGTAATGCAACAGTCATGTAGCAGTTTGAGCAGTTGTATCAATTGATAGTTAGATCATTGTAAAGATATGAATAGACACTCAATTCAGATGTAATGCGTGAGTTGCATTTTGAAATAGTAATACTTTGATGTTAAATTGTCATTTTAAACCGGTGATTTTAGTTCAGTGAACAAAAGATCTTTGGTTCATGTGTATTGTATCCAAGCATTTGGAAAAAGGGTTGTGTTTTGAAAAATTTGCATTTCATCGGTTTTGAATTATGTTTATAGAGTTTTAGCCTGTTAAAGTGCAAACATGATTGTAAAAAACTGTAATAATAATAATAATAATAATAAATCAGTCATCTGAACTCTTAATTTTGTGCGTGTGAATGTGTGGATTCATTTTAGATGAAGGAGTCATCAGTAGGCTACTTAATGGAATGTAAAAGAAAAGTGACAAAACATAAAGCACTTTGCCTTTTGCCCCCTACCTCTCATTCTCCCTTGTCAGAAAGTCAGAAAGAGCTTTATTAGCATGCATGTTTACACACACAAGGAATTTGACTTGGCGACAGGAGCTTCCAGTGCAGAAGAAAGTACAGACATACTGCAAACATACATGATAGTGCTGACAAACAAGGAATAATAACACTAATAAAAAAATAAAAAAAATGCACTAGCTTATATACAGAAGTAGAAATATAGAGAAAGAAAAAATGTCATGAAGGCACTGTGTGTTTTTTCAGAAAGGCGGGGCATAGAGGAGAAACAATAATGTACATTAAGGGTGAAAATAATGTGTTTTTTTTACTTTAAACCGCCTCGGCTTTCACCGTAGACGAAGAGGAGTCCAGCCCGGGGTCGTCACATGTGGTTGCTGCAAGACCGCTGGCCGCTCCTTCGTCAAATCCGCCGGCCCGTGCCATTCTCAAGCCCGCCGGCCGCCGCTCACTCAAGCCCACCGTGTGTGACGCTGTGTGTTTCATTGTGAAAGCGAAACTACTTTGTTTGGTCTTCCAAAAGAGGACACGACTAGAAATCAGTGGTTAAGTTGTATTTACAACACTGTTCCAGAACAGTTCAACCCAAATATTCAGTTGTGTGCAACGCATTTACGGAGGACTGTTTCCTGAACCTGCAGAGTATCCTACAATGCTGTGCACAAAGGCTGTTTCTATAAAGGTCCAACTTTGCAAGGACAGTCTGGCGCTTCTGAGTCACAGCCTGTAAGTACGCTTTTTTATATTTAAAGAATTTGCCACTGACGATTCAAACGTGAGTTTTGAGCAGAGTAGCGCTTGTGTGTCGTTTCTCCGATCATAAATGCAGACATGGTTTTATGTTTACGCGGCGCGATACGCAACGCAATGCGTAAAAAGACATTTATATAATAAATTATATCATTATAATCAGTAATTATGTCCCCACTGGATGCAACAAATGCCTCGTTTGTAATGGGTTTTATTGGTGTTGTCTCATAGCTCAACACAGCATCACAGTATGGTAAGGGGCGTAACATTTCTGTCACATGCTTGAGGTATTCAGCCAATCATAATGCATGTGGAAAAATGCAGTTTTACAAATGCTAGAAATGTGGCTTTCAAAGGAAAGATTGCTATCGAATAGCATACCTAGGTTCCTAATTGATGACGAAGAATTTACAGAGCAGCCATCAAGTGTTAGACAGTGTTCTAGGTTATTACTTGCAGAAGTTTTAGGTCCTATAATTAACACCTCTGTTTTGTTTTGTTTTTCAGAATTTAGCAGTAAGAAATTACTCGTCATCCAGTTTTTTACATTGACTATGCATTCCATTAGTTTTTCAAATTGGTATGTTTCGCCAGGCTGTGAAGAAATACAGAGCTGAGTATCATCAGCATAACAGTGAAAGCTAACACCATATTTCCTGATGATATCTCCCAAGGGTAACATGTAAAAGTGACGGCCCTAGTACTGAGCCTTGAGGTGCTCCATACTGCACTTGTGATCGATATGAAACCTCTTCATTCACTGCTACGAATTGAAATGTGGAAAAAAGCTGCTGTGCATTGAAATAAACACTGAAAGCTATTTAATGTGTAAAATGTTTGTAAAGTCATGTAGCCTACACCTATGAACCTTTTATGCTAAAGCTTTATTTTGATTGAATTGTGTTTCTATACTTAATTTTTAGCTGCTGCCACGCCTTTTTTTGGGTGGAATACCATGAAAATGAGTATTAGTTCAATAATTTACAGTTTTCACCTCTGATATTTAACTTTGATTAAGAATTAAACGTACTCGTTGACTGGAAGTGTGCAGACATCTTTTTGTTGGGTGCTGTTGCCATGGTGAATCATAATTTCGGAGCTCCATTGATCATGGCTTTCCATAGTCGTGGTGCACGCACTAAACTCAGTCAACCTACTCAGAGTGAATTGAACTAACTCAATTGAGCTATTCTGAAACCGAAAACGTCTCGGGTTACGCATGTAACCAAGGTTCCCCGAGAGGGAACGAGACACTGCGCCCCCTAGGGGGCACAATGGGGAATGCAGCCTGCATGACCGCCCATCCAAGTTAAGAGCACAGCTATCCTCAGATAGCTATGCTATGTGAGCAGAACTAGCCTGGATACACAAGACCACTGAAGAGGCTAACTAGAAAGCCTCTAGAGGAGCTAGAGATCTCTACATAAATCGCAGGTAAAGAGAGTGGCGGCTGAGCTAGAACACAGCTATCCTCAGATAGCTATGTCCCTAAGGTCTTATGAAGGCTTGTGGACCAGAATAACATAGCCGAGATAGCACTGTCTAGGCAAGGGCTCAAGGAGACTGATACTTAAGGACCCTAAGAAGGGAGCAGTCACTGAGCTGGCACATACAGGTGCATCTCAATAAAACATTCTAATTTATTAAGATGCACATATAGATATCCGCAGATAGCTATGTACCTAGGAAGGGCTACCAGAAGGGGGACCGACTGAAAACTACTCAGACCACAAAGAGTGAACTGTCTACTTACGACCCAAAGAGGGGAGACAACACTGTCTAGGTTAGGGCTTAAAAAAACGCGACTTAAAGCCCTAAGCAGGGGAGCAGTCACTGAGCTAGCACATAGATATCCTCAGATAATTATGTACCCAGGAAGAGCTACTAGACTGAAACTACCCAGAGTGGGCTGTCTGCTTACAACCCAAAGAGGGGAGACAGCACTGTCTAGGTTAAAAGACCGCTACTTAAAACCCTAAAAAGGGGCGCAATCACGGAGCTAACACATAGCTATCCACAGAGAGCTAGGCTCTAGAAAAGGAGACCGCTCCATAAGAGGGCTTACCGCAGTAGAACACCGCTAGCCTCAGATAGCTGTATTCAGGTAAGCCCGTCCCGCAATACAGATGGCTGGAATATAACCACCCTCAGATGGCTATATAAGGAGGTCCCCAATCCACGCCAGAGCCTAGATAGCCTTCCTACAGAGCTGCTCAGACCACAGAGAGTGGGCTATCTACTTACTACCCTAGCAAGCGAGATAGCACTGTCTAGGCAAGGGCTCAAAGAGATCGCTACTTAAACCCCTAAGCAGGGGAGCAATCACTGAGCTAACACATAGCTATCCTCAGATAGCTAGGCTCTAGGAAAAGGGACCACTCCATGAGCTGGCTCACCACAATTGCAGTAGAACACAGCTTGCCACAGATAGCTGTATTCAAGTAAGCTAGTCCTGCCAAACCAATGGCTGGAATATAACCACTGAGATAGCTATGTACCAAGGAAGGGCTACCGGAAGGGGGACCGACTGAAACTACCCAGAACACAAAGAGTGGGCTGTCTAATTACAACCCACGGAGGGGAGACAGCACTGTCTAGGTAAGGGCTCAAGAGACCGCTACTTAAAACCCTAAGCAGGGGAGCAATCACTGAACTAGCACATAGCTATCCTCAGATAGCTAGGCTATAGGAAAAGGGAACTACTCCAAGAGAGGGCTCACCGCAACTGCAGTAGAACACAGCTAGCCTCAGATAGCTGTATTCAAGTAAGCCCATCCTGCCATGACAATGGCTAGAATATAACCACCCTCAGATGGCTATACTAAGGAGGTCCCCT